GGAGGAGGAGGAGGAGGAGGAGGAGGAGGAGGAGGAGGAGGAGGGTGACGACGAGTGATGAGCAGGGAGCGCCTGGGGCAAAGGCGATGGCGGAGGTTTGGGGGATGCGGGTTCGCCTGCGGATAAAGATGATGTGAGCCATTTAACAAGATCGAAATGCGTACACGCGGTGCAAAGACGGCGAGGCAGCAGACAGCTCGACACGAGTACGGTAATTGTCAGCGCGCGCGCGTTGGCGAGTGCCAGTGCCCGTGCAAAGTGTCGGCTCATCAACAGCTGGGGTGCGCACTTTGCTGCGCGCTACAAGGAATCGAATTTGCAGGCCCAGACTCTGTGTCCATCGTGTGGCTGTTGCCGCGAAATCGCGCAAGCCGCAAGAACGACGCAGCGGAGCGAGAATACGTCCCTCCAGCCTTGTTGCTTGCGTCTTGCCATCGTCTCATCTCTTCCCTCGCTCCAGACGCGCGCGCGCACGGAGCGAGGGAAGAGGGGGGGGGGGGGGGGGCCTTCGCCTGCTTGACCTGTCCCTCATTCCCGCTCTCCCACTTCCATTGCTTGCATTCGGGGTCCAGATTATGCGCGATTCTGATTCTAACTGCTCTTGCTGCCTGCCTGCCTGCCTGCCTGCCTGCTTGCCTGTCTGCCTGCCTGCCCCAGCTGCTTCGTCCACTGTGGCGTGATGGTCGGGAAGCAAAAGAGGGACCGGTTCCTTTGAAGCGCGCGCGGTTGTATGTAGGTATGCCACCAAACGCGCGCGCGCGTCTCGGGCCAGGCCAGCATGCAGCTCCTTTGCGCACGCGCTGCAGACCGGTGCGCGGGGCCGCTCGATCGCCGCGCGAGCACGCGCGCTGAATGACTGCACTCAATTTTGAATGACTGAATGGCTGAGCTGCAGAGCGCAGCGCGTAGCGCGTTTGCCTTTGCCTTGATTTTCAAATCTCGATTTCAATCAAAATCTGGAATCTGAATCAAATCTCGCGTCTCGAGTTGTATCGGGCTGCTGCATCACGTGATTTTACAGCTGCACGCGCTCAGAGCCGAGTCGAGTGAACGCGTGGATTTCTTCGAGTCGATCGTGAAGCATCCAGAAGAAGAGCGCGTGAGGCGGCGTGCTCGTGCTGACTGAAGGAAGCATCACATCACGCTGCTCACGATTGCATTCAGACACGCGAGTCGAAGGCTGAACAGAGAATGAAGTAAGAAGCATCGATTGGAATGCCGCGAGCGAGAGCGGGTCAAGCGACAAGCGCGACGTGACAAGAAGGGGGAGCAGGACGCATCGCGTGCAAGACGGGATCATACACTACTGCGCAATCAAGGATTCGTTGGCGTGCACCATGGCTGGGCTTCTATAAGTCTGTCCGCCGTGCGTAAAGATCGTCTGGGCGGTGATCTCGGTGCCGTTGAGCTGCATGGCCAGCTGAATCTTGGCTTCCACGTAGCGCTGGCCTGTAGGCGACGTCTTGACGGGCAGCGGCATGCGCATGGCAAAGTGAGACAGGTCAATCTCGAAGCGACACAGCTCCTCGCTGCGGGGGCGGGGGCGGGGGGTTGCTGCGTGTCAGCACAGAGAAGCAGCGATGCGATGTAGCATGCACGCACGCACGCAGCGCACGCACGCAGCGCACGCGCGCAGCACTCACAAGCCTTCCTCTTCGACGAATTCGGGAATGTGCTGCTCATCATCATCATCTCCATCCTCGTCTCGATGCACGAACAAGACGACCTCCTTCATCGGCGGCGCACCGATAGGCCACGTCAAGTTGAACGGCTCAATGTGCTCCGCTGTAGTGGATGCGCTCTCTCCCTTCCTGATGATGGGGGCGAACACGCCGGGCAATTTCCAGCGGCCATCTTGACCTGCAAAGCTCAGGTGCTGCCTTTCCACGTGACCTGGCTTTTCGGGTCGGTAGAGAGCGTTGCATCGAATGCCCAGCGACATTCTCGCAACTCGCGTAGAGACCATGCCATCCAACGACCAAGCCACTGCACCGGAAGCGACCGCTTTGGACAATGCTCCATCCGGCTTCGTCATGCGCACCAAGCCGCCCAATCTGTTTTGCAGCTCGGACCTAAAGTAGGCGCTCTCGGAGAAGCCGCCTACCATGGCGACTGTCAGCGGACCTCGACGCCCGTTGGTCTTTTGAGCCTTGTCCATGATGCTGTTGCACGTGGCTTCGATGCACGGCTCGAACAAGGCCGCCATCTCTTCGCCAGTCAGCTCCAAGAGACCATTCTTGATGCCCAATTCCGGCTCATTGTCCCTGAAAGATCCCACCTCGAGGAGCATGCTCTGCGAAGGATTGCTAAAGAGCTCCTTGACGCTGGAGCAGAACTTCAATTGCAGCTGCAACAGTTGCGCCGGCTCGGCCCAAGGCGTGCCGGCCAGCTTCTGACGCAGAAGCTCGGCAGCTCGACGATCGATGACGGTGCTGCCGGCCATGAGACAGTCGGACCTGGCGATCTCCTTGACCAACAGGCAAGGAGCAGTAGCGGTGACCTCGTACGTCGAAATGTCGACCGTACCACCGCCAGCATCGCAGACGAGGACTTGCTGGCCCACCTCGTCCATCCAAGCGCTCGATGCGGCGGACTGCGAACAAAAGTGGATGGACGCTTCGGCTTCAGAGACGAATTTGACAGCCTCTGCGCTCTCTGCAGCGACCAGACCCGCATCGACGCAGCAGCGCCTCAGAATAGCTTGCTGAGCTGCTTCCCATCCGTTTGGAATGGTGATGACGTAGCTGGTGGATTGCGCAAGCTCGCACATGAGCTCCATGGCATTGGCGTGTCGGGTCTTGATGTGCTCGCCGACGCAGCGCACCATGTAGTGCAAGAAATCGGCCAGCACCTTTTGCGGCTTCAGTCCGAACGGGATGGGAGCCAGCAGAGGGTTGGACGCATCGTCTTGCGCGACCGACAAGGAGAGGTGCGCGGGCTTGAGATGCAGCTTGAACCACCGCGCCACCTGACCACCTGCATTGGCAAGCTGCATAGCATTGGGCGCAAAGGAGCACTCGGCGCCAAAGAAGCAAGGCACGCCTTCGACGCTGTAGCCGACCTCGGTAGGCACTTTCGAAGCTCCATTCGCTTGTCCAGAGAAAGCCGTCACCTCTGCAATCTCGGGCGTCTTGCCGGGGGTGAGGATGCAGTAGGATGCGCCAGAGTACGTCGTGCCCAGATCCACGGCGATGACCAGCCTCTTGCTCTGTCCGCGGTACGGTAGCCAGTCTTTTCCGCGGCGGCGCGCTTTCGTGTGCTCGTCGCGCGTCGGATCGAGAGCGTGACCTCCGCCAAGGGGAGGCATTGGCGCCGCACCAGCTTGTGCGTGCATCGCGAATGGCGTGGTCTGAGGTTGACTCCAAGCGCCGCTTTCAGAGAAGCCCGAATCGCGAGCGTGCAGGATGGGCTTCTGAACGGGTGGAGGCGGAGCTTGCAGCTTGTTGGAACGCTTGAAAAAGTTGACCATGGTGGGCGTGAGTGTTGCGATGGTGAAGAGGGGTCCCAGATGCTGGAGGCAGAGGACATTTGCTCGGCCATCCAAACGTTTGCAGCAGGCTATATGAAGGAATATGTGCTCAGCAGTGCTCGCTCTCTCGGGGATGCTGCGACAACGACAAACGCTTCTGTCTGCTAGCAAGGCGCGCGCGGCGATTCGGATGGACGACGCGCCTCGAAGCACTTGCCCCGCGCAAGCTGTGATCATCGTATCGCCTATCGCTCAGCAGCTCCATCAGCATCGCCTGACCGCGCTGCTTTCTCTATCAAGAATCTTCTGCTCCGAACCCACCTTGCTACCCGCTCCCTGTGGCACCTATTCCTCCGCGCCTAGGCGTGCCCATCAGAAATCCAGACTCTTTCCGCCACACGCGCAGCCCGGTGGAACCGGTCCCTCGCGCGCGGAACGGGTCCGCGCGCTGCATCCCCCGCCTCGCGCGCGTGAACGGTGCGAGCGCGCGCTCCGTGGTGTGTGGGCGAGGTGCGTCCGACGAGAGCGGCTGATGATGAATCGTGAATCGCAATCATGCACAAGGAGGCGCGCTAGCTAGAATTTTAGCATCGAGCAGTCAAGGCCGGCCATTCACGACTGGCGAGCACGTCCAGCTACTCGGTAGGCTCCTTCGTGCGACTTGCTCGAGAGCGTCGACTGTGCAATACTCAACGAGTCGAGTCGCAATGGTTAGCAGCGCTAGGCGAAGAGGCAGCGGTCGTCACATAATATGCGAGACGCCGTATTGAATGTGGCCGGCACAAGACATCTTTAAGACAAGGATAGAGTCAAGTGCATATATTGACAGCGAAAGCTATTCGACCCAGGGGCGCGGCACTGGGACAAGGCAGCGAGGCATACAGAGGCGGTGGTCGTCAAAGGAATCGGAACGGTGACATTCATGCAGAAGCAGCGGGGAGAAGAATCTTTGGCTGCGTAGCTGTAGCGACGGTGGATTGGAGCCCAAGAGCGACGGTAAGGGCGGAAGTGCTTGCGGTTCCACTAGCGCTGGTGACCGTGATCGCAAAGTTGGCGCTGGACATTTTCTCCTTCAGCTCAATGACGAGCGCGATCAGCATCTTGACCGCCTCCTCGAGTCTGGCAAGCTCCTTGTTGGCTTTTGCGCTCGCTGCGGAACGGCTGCTCTCAGCACCAGACCAGACGAGGACGTCGGTGAGCGCGCTGATGGCTTGTTGAACCGTGCTTCGCATAGCTGCGCGGCCTTGAGAGTCGCCGCTAGCCTCGCGAAGACTTGCGTGTGCCATGACTCTCCAACGAGCGGCGCGCGCCTGGTCGAATTGGCGAAGAACGCTGGCTTCCAGGCTTGCGAAAGTGTCATTCTCCGAGGCTTTGCCCGCGAAGCAGCTGCGGACGAAGCGACGTGTCAGTCGTGGCGGCGAGTCGAGCGCAAATCAACGAATGAACTCACAAGGGCTGGCAAAGATGCTCGACGAGGACGGCATTGACGACGTGCTTCAACACATTGTCCAGACTTGCCGTCTTCTTGTTGGCGACGATCGAGCTGAGTGCAGCTCTCGCAAAGCTCGGCACGCTCTTTGGCAGGTTGCCGCTGCTCTGAAGGCGCGAGGCGGTAACGTCGTTGCCGTGGTCAGCAGCCCTCGAGAGCGCCATTGCCGTCTGTTCGAGCCGTCGATTGACGCCGCTCAGCTTGTCGACGAGCTCGCGCTCGCTCAGCTTGTCCAGCGTATCTCCAAAGGCGCTGGCCGCGTTTCGTTCAGCTTCGAGCGTCTTGATGCGCTGGCGTGCAGTCTCGAGTGCCTTGTTGTTTGGACGCTCCGACTTGTACGGCAAGACGGTCATGCCTTCAGTCCCCTTGTCCGTGTATCTGGCCAGGTCGCTCTCGTGTGCTCGTTGGATCGCAGCAACACGATTTCTGTGGCGACGGCGAAGGAACCACAATGCGAAGAGGGCGCCGATGAGCAGGCCTCCGAGGAGACAGCCAATAGCTGCGCCTACAGTGGCGCCAGTGTTGGACTTGCTCTTTTCTTGGGGTAGATGCTTGGTGGTGCCTTGCTGGTCGTTGGGGTCCGAGCTTGGGGCAGCGCCGCTCGTACTTGGCAGAGTCGTCTGAGGACTGCTTGTGGGTCCCGCGGGCTTTGTACTTGACGAGGACCGGCACAGGTCTGCATTTGGATAGCTTTCACACCATTTCTGCAGCTGACCTGCTGCAGAGTCCGCTGTAGGCGCCACTAGAGTAGTAGTGGTTGCTTCGGTTGCGCTGCTCGAGACCACCTGCGTGGCCACTAGCTCGCGCGTCTGGCCGAATGTGCCAGAGAATGCAACATTATCGAGCGTGATTGCGAATTCCTGTCCAGGGGTTTGACGCTTCTCGAGATGAGCAACTTCACCACCGTGAGCTTTTTTCTGGACGAGGGGCATTTTGGGGCCTTGAGGAGCGTCAACAGCTGGAGAACGCGCCTTCAAATGGGCCGAGGAAGCGCTGCCGGAGCTCAGCACTCCCATCCTCTCTCTGCGAGCAGCGGGCACATCATCTCGCTTCTTGAGCTGAAGAATGTCCGACTTGGCTCCAGAAGAGACGAGTTGGTGAGATTTTACGGAAGCCATCTTGATTCGCGATGCAAGGGATTGAAAGAAGGTAGGGTGGGCGCACGAATAGGTGAAGGTGGATGGAGTCTCAGTGCGCCGATACATGAAGCTCAGTGGCGGTACTTATAGCTGCGTCTTCGAGGTCTCCAAAGCTCGCAAGCGTTTCCGCGCGTAAGCGTAGAGTGCAACATTTCGAGCCTACGGACTTGTCCTTCTCACGCAACGGGAGGAAAAGGCCTGGACTTTTGCGACCGTGTACCGCCCTTGGCCCGGTGTCGCTCGCTCAATACCTTCCCGACTGGCATGTTAGCGCGCGGCTGATCGTCGAAAGGATGAATGCCGACTCTGATTGCCTTGGTGATCCGCAACGCCTCGCAAGCGGGAAAGCGGGGCGGAAGGACAGTCAAATGTTAACCCAGCAGTTCCCACTGTGGCTTGTGGCGATTCCGTGTCTCGTAGTCCAAGCTCATTTCCACTGATGTATTGCTCAAGCGCGCTATAAGCGGGCTGCCATTGCCTTGCTGTGAGTCCAGACTCGCGAAGGAAGATTCGTGATTACGAATGTGCTGGCGGGAGAGGGACCGGTCTGAGGAACCAGTTCCAGCGGGAAGGTTGCGAGGAGAGGAGCTTCTGGTGGCGCGCGCGGCGGGCTCGTGCTGCGCGTTCATGCAACGAGCTGTGTGTGCGGTGCTGCTGCTGCATGCACGCATGCATACACGCACGTCCCCCGTGGCGCGTTTGGGGACACGTCCGTCCCAAGGCCTCGCTCAAAGAGCCGTGTGTGTGAGTGCTTCGTACCCCTTCGCGGGATGCACGCGACCGCGCAGCAGCAGTGTCAGCAGCACGATACGATCCATGAGAGTCACGCGTATCAATGTTGCGACCAGTCTGAGGGTGAGCGCTGGGCGAGTGTAGTGCACTCTCCTACAATTCGGTGGCAGACTCTTCCGCTGCTTGACTGGGGCGGCACGCGACGGAAAGCAAGCCGTCAAGTCGAGCACACAAGGACATTGGTCGTGGCTCAAGGGGCGTGGTCAATGCACAGACGCGATGCGGAGCGCCGCGCGGCGCCGCAAGTCAACACACATGTTGACGTGTGTAAAGCGCACTGCACAACATCAAATTCCAACGAGGCGGTGCTTAGGATGCAAAGCGTACAGTGGCGAATGCGTGATCTTCGGGATGAGAGAAGTCGAGAGGCGGCTCCGAGAAGCACTGGTCGCAGAGGTCAAAGATTCTGTCCGCTCGCTTGCAATCCACGCATTGCAGCCTGATGCCCAAGATGTCTTCGCCGCAGCAGTCGCAGTACGCTTCGTGCTCTGTGAGCGAGAGCTTCCATTCAATGTGACAGAGCTCATCCGCTTGTACGTCCGATGCGGGACGGTACGAGATAAAGTCGTGTGGATGCCTGATGCCGGTGTAGCATGCTTCGCACTGAGAAGGACAATGTAGGGCAGTGAGTAATGGCAACCGTGCAATACTCCTACTCGCACTCACGAGGTCAAAGTCTGGACACGTGTCGCAGCTGTAGCGAGTACCGCAGATACAGCCCAAGCAGCTATCGCAGAAGCGCCCGAGATGCATGGCTTGAAGGTCGTGCGCTTGGGCTTGCGCTTGCATCTCCTTTTGCACCTTTTGCTCCACCTTTCTTTCGTCGTGCGCCTCTCTGAGCGCTGCGATCTGGCACGCGGTGCACTGTGTAGGTCGAGAAAGGTCAAAAAGTGCGTCTGCAGGTTCGACTCCTCCTCACTCACCAAGCGAGCATCGCTGCACGTGCTGGGAGTGTACTCGAACGAATCTCTGCAGCGCGTGCACCACGCAGTCACGCTGAACTGGGACACTGCGCTGGCTTGCCCTTCATCCGGATGAGAGTGCGCTGGCTTGACAGAAGTCCACGAGCTGTGAGGTTTGATTGCCGCCGATGCAGCGAGCAGCGCGGTTCCCGCGCCTGCGGTCGCCATGATCCTGCTAGAATTGGTAGATGCCAACCAAGCAAGCTCTTCAAAGGCAACAGGAAGCGCTTTGCTTCCGCCCGTGTATAGAGCCTCGGCGATGAGCGAACCTGGATGGGCGGCAACTTGGTGCCAGGTGTCTGCGGTGGCGCCGGCGACGCTCTGGCGCGACGACAAAGTTGCGGCGTCAGCAATGTCATCTAGCCGAGCCTCATGCAAAGGCTGCCCCAACATTGCTCACTTCTTGACCCATCATCACAGAGGTGGCCCCGTTGCCTGCCGCTTGAGTCACGCTGTGCGTCGCAGAGTCTGAGAAGAATTGAGTGGACAGAGCGTCCAAAGAGCTGCTGAGCGCAATCGACAGAGCGGCCCAGCCGGCCGTTTCGAGCACATCTTTTCCTGTCTGCTTGCGAGGCTGCAAGCCTCGACGGTATATCCTGTGCCGGTCCGGTAGCCGTGTGAGTAAGGGCTGCGCGACAACACCTTCGCAATCACTTGCTCGCTCACTCTTTGAGAAGCGTCTCGACTTTAAAGTTGGCTTCGATGGCTCTGTAGAGCTGCCAGGAGATGTGAATCACCGCTCCAGGCACCGTAGCGCCCATGCTCGCGACACAGTGAACAATGTGGCTGCCGGTCCAGAAGCCGGCAGAAAGCGCGACTTGTTGCTGTGGCCTCCGGCGCGTGCAATGTCAGACAAGGGCTATATCTGCAGTCACCGCAGCGACCCACGACGACTCACGATTTCTTTGCGGAAGCGCAGTTCCTTTTCGAGGAGATGGTCATTGCTGTACTCTAGAATACGCGCTCTGTACTTTGACTTCCACTGGCCGCTCAAAGGTACCCATCCTGCGCGAGAATGCGCTGTCTCTAATCAGCGCAGCCCACGTAGCCACTTGCGCTCGCACTCACCCGCTACTTTGCCCATCTTGCTTTCGAGTGATCTTGCGATGGGGGTCCGTTGACGACGTCTTTGACGAGATGATCAGCGTCGATTGTCACGTCTTGAAGTGATGGTGAGCAACGACGAGGTAGACGAGAAACATTCCAAGGTCCGCGGCGCCTCACGCGTTCCGAAAGCGACCGAAAGCGACTCGATAGACTGACTGCGCTCGCGGAACGTCATGTGCCGACTAGTTGGCGTGCTGACGAGCGCAGAGACACGCCCTGTCTCCACCCAGTATCCTTGAAGCATGGCACACTGTAGTCGAATGTTGTCCGAGGGACTCGAATCGTCGGTCAAGTGAGGCTAAACGTGTGGCTTTGCAGCAATCGTGCAAATGCGTGGCTCGAACGCGCCAAAGGAAAGTCGGAAACTCAAGAAAGGGTGGCTGAGCTTCAAAGAGTGGCTGTGTGCAAGTGCGAATGGTGAGTCGAGCGAGCGTGATTGGATACGGGGCCACGCCATATCTCTGCTTGATCGTCCCGATCCATTCACATTCAGGATCGACCGACCGACCGCCCCTTTCGAGGACCGGTTCCGCCGTCGTGCATCATGCCAAAGGTCCGCTCTCTGCATGCAGGAACGCGAAAAAAGGAACCAGTCCCGACGGGAGCCCGCGCGCGCGCGGCGGCCAACAGGCCAAGAAAAGAGGGCCGCGCGCGGGGGCTGCTGCTGTGGCATGCGCACGCGCACGCGCAACGCGACACTGTGCGGCGGCGCGCTAGTCGAAGCGCACGCAACACGCAGACAGACAGGCTCAGCGAGGCCCACCGTGCGTCGTGCGTGGTTGCCGGTCACGCGGTTTGGGATGTCCAGAGGACCTGTTCCACATCTCGCAAGCTCCCCGCGATCAAAGGGCCAGACTCTGCGCTTGGGCTTCCCGCTGACCGCCTTGATAGTCTAGACTGATATGTAATCCAGGGTGACGCCTTGCGGACCTCGTATCCACACGAGAGAGCACGTCGGACTTTGGTGATGCCGACTGTGAGAAGGAGAGAGCGTGAACGGTCGTCTCCGTGCATGGCGTGTCTGCAACGCTCTTCCAAAGCTCATTCACGCTTCGCCAGCGACGCCTCTTGCAACGCCATGTCGGGACTCATCGACGCTTCTATTTCGATCTGCAAAAGTACTTAAGCAAGGCTTGCGAGGCTCCAATTGACCATCTCCCCATCGACATCCAGCGCGCCTCTTTTCCGCTTGACCTCAACATCGCTTCCCCATCCTCTCCCTCAAAATTCACCTCAACATGCGCTTCGCTGTCCTCCTCGCTTCGGCTCTCGCCTTGGCTGCCTCTCAAGTCAACGCCTTGACCATCAACATCAACTCTGCCAGCTGCACAGCCATCAACTGGAGCATCCGCCTCGGTAAGTGGGGCAAGGCGTCGAACGTGATCACAGTGACTCCACTGACATCGCAGGCACGCCGCCCGATCTTGACGACTTGCAGACTCGCGGGAAGAATACGTGCAAGCTTCCACCCTGCGCTTCTACGCCGCTTCGAGCGACTCGGATTTCGACTCGTTGCACTCCGACTTTACCGTCAGCGCCAATGGAGATGTCAAGTCGTACGGTGTTTGGTACACCTTTACGACCTACGTCGATGATAGCGATCGCCCTGCCGGCACTTCATGGCAAATGGGAGCTGGATTGATCGACTATCAAAACAACTTTCTTCCTGCCGCTGACGGCACCAGGCTCATCGTGTACGGCACCCGCACTGTTACCGGCTGCGACGCGGCGCCGACTCCCGTTTCCACGACGCTCTCCAGCTCGTCCGCATCGACATACAGACCCACATCAACCGGCACCTACACGCCCACGTGGTACCCTACTCCCCTAGTGAGTAGCACTAGAGCCGGTCGTGCTTCACTGCATGATCTTCTGGCTGATCCGTCATTCTGTCAACCTTTGCAGCCAGTCGAGCAAGAGACGCACGGCGTTCCGATCGGTGCAGTCGCTGGTGGCATCGTCGGTGCTGTCCTGCTGCTGCTCGGCGCGGTGATCTGGCTGATCGTGCGTCGTCGCAAGCTGAAGCAAGAAGCTCAAGCGAGCGGTGCAAATGTCGGAGGCAGCGCAGCAGCTGGTGGACAAGCAGGCGGCGCCTTTGTGCCGGCGGGCGCGGCCATGGGAGGAGGAGCGGGAGCGGAAGCAGTTGGCACGCCCGATTTGGAAAAGATGGAGAGCGCATCGGGCCATTTCGGTCATGTGCCCACGTTGGCCTCCAACGGAGGTTGGGCCACCGACAACCGTCGTCCGCCATCGCAGTACACCGCAAGCACGGCTGGCAGAACGAACAACAACAACAACAACAACAATAGCGCATTCTTCACTTCGCCACCCACCAGTCCTCTCATGGCAGCGCACAATCGTCCCATGTCTCAGCAAAGCCTCGCTGCGCGCCCCATGAGCCCGGCCAACAATCCTCTGTTCGGCAACGCGCCAACACCAAATGCCGTCGCCAACAATGCCTGGCATCCCGAGCCAATGGCAGCCAACACCGCTCACGGCAACAACCAGCTCGCAGAACCAATGACGCGATACTGATGAACGGATGGATGGATAGGATTGCACATACCTGCGCCACTCGTATCTCCCAAGTCACCGGCACGTCCCGCTCAAGCTCCATTCCTCGTCGCCATTGTTGCCCCTGTGCTTCCTCGTGTAGATCCGCATGCCATTTCGAGCCTTGACCGATACACTTGACCCCCGCAAGAACGGATTCTCCGCTTTCGGCCAGCTCCGCGTCACCCTTCGTCTCGCAATGCCATCCATGAAACGATCTTGCTGCTTGCATGCCGAGTCGCATACTGCATCGAGCCGGACTCATGTTTGGATGATGTGCGCGGAGCAAGAACAGGTCCTTAGCGTGTTGGCACACCATGTTGACTGCGTAGCGTGTATGCGCGCGAATCAAGCTTGCCCGGGCAAGATGGCATCCACACGCTCTTGTGCGAGGGGCAAGGGGACCACAAGGTACTCGCTGGTCAGGCGTCCAAGAAGGAAGCAGATGACTCAGCCCGCAGAGCCAATCCAAGACGCCGAACCAGAATGACTGCAGCGCACCGCTCCGCGCACAGAGAGACCAACTCACATGAGACGCGTAGCTGCTTGCTCCTCGGTGCTGAGCTCGCCCTGCTTGCTGGCCTTGTACAGCGGCAGACCGTCACGGAGGACGTTTTGATAGAAGCCGCTTCTCAAAATGGCCAGCCTCACGCAAGCCCTTAGGGAGTCCGCCTCGTCCTTGGCGCTGCCTATGTTGCGCAGAGCATCGTAGCGCTGCCTATATTCAGCGTGCGCTTGAGGTGTGGTGATGAGGCTAAAGGCGTTGATGCCATCCATGGCATCGTTTAGCGCATCCGAATGCTCCTCCTCGCGCGGATCGCCCTCAGGAAAGTCGCCACCAGGAAGCTTCTCTGCCTCGTCTTCTAGGCGGTGCAACACCTCTCCACGCGTTTGCGTAAAGATGGCCACCACGTCGTACGTCACTCGCACAAAGGTGGCGCTGTCCACCGACGTGTCCTCAAAGGCGATTCGCTCAGGGAGCGCAACTACGCTCATGCTTGCGATGCTTGCGATGCTGTGTTTGGCGTGTCTTACTTTGTGTATGCGGCGTTGCGCGCTGAGGGATGTGCAAGTAGCCTGAGCAGGTGATGTCGATGTCGATGTCGATGTCGATGTCGATGTGGTGATGATGTGATGGTGGTCAAGCAAGGTGTGCAGGCGTGTGTCGGGTGGTTGTGGAGGTGGTGGTGAGGAGGAGAGGGATGTGGGCCGCTGCCTTGCAAGCATTCAGCAGTCGCGCGTGAGTGTCTCTGGGAGACAGTGGATGCGCATCCACCGCCGCGGAGCTCCGCTTCTGACAGACTCACGACTGAACTCGTGACTCCATGCATTGGTCGGCGAGTGCTCATCGCGCGGTGCGTGCGCCAAGGGAGAGACTAAAGCTGCATGCATGCATGCATGGAAGGGCGTCGTGGGCGTCCGTCGTAGGCGTCCATGGAAGGGTTTGATTGTGATTTCATGCGCACGTCAGTGATTGCTCTGATGCAGACTTTGCTGCCGTCCAGCTGAGTCAAGAGTGTGAGTCGCAATCACATCAAGATCGAGTGTGAGTCACAATTCTTGATTGTCAGCCATGCAATCAATCACAAATCACGTGAATGTGGATGTCCCGCGCGCGCGCGCGCGCTTGATCGTCTGCGCATCAGGCAGCATGTCACGAGTCTTGAGTCAGAGTGGCGCTGAGCTGCGAGCGACATCAGCAATCTGAATGTGAATTGCATGCATGCGTCATGCATGGGCGCACACGAAGCGAGACTTGCATTCATGCTGCATGCATGAACGCGGCGCGATGCTGACCGTGGGCGCGCAAGCATGCACCAGCAGCACAGCCTCGTCGATGTGAATCGTGAATTGCCTAGGGTGAAAGTCGAGCAAATTGAATGGTGAATCTTGGCGGTGCTGCCCGCGCCCTCAGCTGCGCCCCGATGCAAAGGATGCGCCAAGAGGCACATTGGGCGAATGTTTGCATGTGCCCACGCGCCATGCATTCGTGAGTTTGATTGCCATGCCTCGCAGGCAGGCAGGCAGGCAGCAGCAGCACTCATCACCTCTGCGTCGACAGTCACACGATTCACATTGATCGCAGTGGCCAAGTCGTGGGTCTTGCTGCTGGCGCGACTCAGCAAGCCTTCATGCGCGCCCATGGTGACGTGACGTTTGCTGCGTGCATGCAGTGCAGTGCATGCATGCATATATGGGCGTTGCAATCACGAATCTTGCATCGTCAAGCGTACTCTGACCACTCACGTACATGCGATCTGGGGGGGGAGGGGAGGGCCGGGCGCGGCAAGGATGGCGCCGTGCAGTGCGAAAGCGTTCCTGTTGTCCCACGACCCCTTTGCCTCGACTCCCTCGGCGTCTCGGCTCCTCGGTGCATCACGTCTCGACCACTCAATTGGCGCACCCACCATCACCTCGAGCTCGAGCTCCCTTCAGGCGTGATGGTGTAGCATTCAAGATTAGGAAGCGCGGCTGCATGCGTGAGATCCATCCTACACTCGTCACGCCTCGACCAAAGGGTATAAAGAGGGCAGCCATCTTGGAGCAGATCGTCGACTCCTCTTCGCACCTCAATCTCTTCATAACAAATATCGTCTTCTTACTTTCTTCTTTTGGTCCCTTCGCTTCTGCTGGTCAGACGTCGGACATTTACCCAAAAACGCTTTTTGGTTTTCTCTTTCCAATCTCGCAAATCGCTCAACAACGTGCAGCCCTGACCCTCACCGCCGCATCAATATGAAGCTCAGCTTTGTGCTCCTAGTCCTTGCCGCGACACTGGCCACCACCGCCTTTGCTACGCCTATCAAAATTTACCGTAACAGCAGCGCTAGGAAGCAGGCTGTGCCCCCAGGATCAATTCGCAACAAAGAACTAGAAGAAGGCAACCCGGATGGCAAACCGGAAAAGGGAAAGCACATCCCAGCGCAAGCTCCGCCTGGTGGACCAGAAAAGGACTGTGGACTCAGCTGCAACACAGACAATAAAAATCTCTTCAAAGGAGAGCACCTGCACAGTCTGGAGACTAACGGTGAGTCTCGCATCGCGCCGTCCTTGACAGAGATGTACGTGCAGCTGACTCAGTTTCACATTTCTCCCCCCCTTCGCTCGGACTCGTCTTGTTTGCGAACTTGAACGCCGTGCTACAAGATATCCCCCCGAATTCCGGATTCAAAGCCACGGAAGATGGAGATGACGGTAACCATCCCCCCGGCCACGTCACCTTGAAGACCACACAGGACATGAACAAAGAGGAGGTGAGTGGAGGCTCGCCCAGCGCTCCTTTTCTACGCATGCAGATCCTGACGACGACGACGACGACCCGCTGCCTGGTAGTACACGGAAAAAGTGAACGCTCTACCTTGGAAATACGAGGAGGGTAAGAACCCGGACGGCAAAGTCAAGCCTAAGCCTGCGCCGGCGAACAAGGATGGCCAACCTCAGCCTGCGCCCGGCCCGGCGAACCAGGATGGCAAACCGCAGCCTCCACCGGCGCCGGCGCCGGCGCCGGCTCCGCCCGCGCCGCCGGCAGGGCCAGCAAGGAGAGCCTTCACGACGCGAGGTCAAGCGTCCGCGCTCTTCGATGGCGGTCGCCAGGCCCGGATGCTGCAGGCGCGAGACGCCGCGGGAACGCCTTACTGGCTGATCGTCGAGGCTTGATCATGTAGCATCGTCGCTCTTTATTCCACGCTAGCAGAGCTGTTCAATGCGATGAAGCTCTCGTGTCGCATGCATGCGTGCGCTAGCTACACATCTATATGCGTGACAGCTCCCTCGAGTCAAGATCATGTACATCAACTCACCACAAAGACGATTCTGGCCTCGTGTCGCCAGCGCCTCGCCAGTCTCTGAACGATCATGAATGTCGCTTTGACCCTAACGCTCTGTGTGAAGCTCCGTGTGTCAGGGGATCCGCGTCTGCCGTCTCGCCAAGTCGCTTTAGACGACGCCAAATTCGCTGCGCTCCACCGCTCTCTGCGACACGAGATCGCTTTCCACCCCGTCACGAATCACAAACCGCAGTTGTGCACGTCGACGGCGCGGTGAGCACTTTCCGACATCAGAATAGCGACAAAGTCGCACGATGAAAGTGTGTGACAGGCGGACGAGAGTTGCTGCGTCTCGAAGCGGTGAAGAGTGATATGAATAGACTTGCGAGACGCGCTCGATGCGGGCTCGAGGGGCCATTCTGGGTCAAGGCGCGGACACTTGCGCGCGCGCTCGCAAAGGGGAGCGCCTCGCCCGGAAAGAGCGAAGACGAATGAGCTCGCGGCGCGCCGAACGCCACGAATGGCGAGAGACTGTTGCGAAGGGAAGCGCAAAAGTCAGTCTTCTGCTTGAGATGTCCTGCCGCAGAGCTTGGCTCAGAGAAGGAGCATTGCGTTCGTGGCGGGGGGACAAGGTTTCCATTGACCTGCATTCTCCGTGATATGTTCGCCGCTGTGCTTGCGGCAGTCTTGCGCGATCTGTGAGCTTGGACATGTGTTGCAACCGTTGTATGTGAGGCGTTGATAGCTGAGTAATTGGGCTCTCTGACCATGTCCGGCACCTTTGGTGAGCGCACAGTGTACAGCGCGAATGCGCTTCGTACGGAGCAACAATCCAGGCACATTTCCAAAGTATAGTCGATTGCAGCTGTGACGCCGTTGGGCTCGAGGGGATATTCTCGTGCCACTTGAGAAGGCGATGAAGCGTGGCAAAGTCGTGCAGGAACGGCAATGCATTGGCAAACGCACGTCCGAGCAACACGAAAGGGCCACAAACGAACACCTAGAAGAATCCGTGTCGCGACGGTCTGGCTCGGACTACCCGCGTCCCGGCCCTAGCCTCTTGGCCACGATTTTCTCAGGATTGCAACTCCAATGGTGGAGTCATTGTTACACGCAAGCACGCGCACGGGAAAGCAAAGTGGGTGCGGATTGGGACACATTTGCTTCGATAGGAGCGCGACGAGAGCAGACGTCTGCGACGTAGCAAGCTTTGGTGACTGCGTGGCATAGAGCATCGCATACAGGACACAAACAGCACGGTGATTTAGAACCTTAATAAGTTTAAGGACCTAGAGCACCTAGACTAGGAAGCATTATGGTACGGGTCAGCAGAGGTATGACAACTAGTAGAAGAGTAGAGAAGGTCGCGGTAGCTTAGAAGTGTACTAAAAGGTATTCATTTGCGCGTTGTGGACACACAATTGTATCCGCAGCAGCACATTTATAGCACCGCAGGCGTAGCACCGCATTTGCGGACCGCACGCGACCATCGCAGCCGAGCCTCGCTTGAGAGCAGCATTCCGGCAAGTTTATGCGCATTGCAGCAGCTTCAAATGAAGCTTGCCACGCTGCATTGCTTGGCTGTGATCTTATCCGGAGCGACTTGCAACCCTGTGATGAGGCTGCTAACTTGAAGGACCTGCTGAAAAGGCGCTTGCCGTGCTCATTCCGCAACAATTGTGCTAATGGGAGTACTAGATGAGCACCACAGGCTCAGCATGAAGACCAGCCAACACCACCAGAAAGTAGGTGCAGCATGATTGCATGCATTATCCTTGTGTGAGCAGCACTGTCACCATCACCACAATGCATCCAAATGCTGAAGCTGCCAGAGCAGTGCATCTTACTGATCATCCAGCAAGCAGGTGGTGCCGGACACGTCGATTCTCGCAACTGCCTTCTTGCTGGACTGTGCTCGTCAAAGAGGGATGGAGCCAAGATTGTCCAAATTGCTGGATGTTGATCGGCTTCCTTGCAGAGTTGGCGTTGTACCTGCGGGACAGCGCGTGCACAGTCGCGATTGAGTCAGCAATTGCAAATGCGAGACGCTTGACGCGCATTGTGAAAGCAAGACGTGCGCATATACGCGCGCAGCCACGCGCAACTCACAACCAGCCAGTGACCTTCTGACCCCATCACCTTGTGAGCCAAAGCGCAAAATCCACAGTGACCATCAGAAAGGGGGTTGTAGACTTGCTCCCTGATGCCCAGTTGGACTAGATGTGAGTCATCAGGGAAGCGACAACGTAGCAAGTCTGACCCTGTGTGCTTGGTTTCTTGAACAGCACTGACGCAGACCAGCGCATCCCAGCCTAGTGAGCACACAACATCCCAGCAGAGATGCACAACCTTGACTTGGAGGAGCATGGTGGCGCATCTCTGCTGGGATGTCCTGCGCTCGCGCTCGCGATCACCGCCGCCAGTGAGATCCTCCACCCAGAACAATTCGATACGAGGATCTTGAGGGGTCTCTTCAGCCACAAAGGCACCAGGGGTCACTTGCAGGTGACGCAAAAAGGGCCAGCGCGTCAAGTGCCCAGGATGCGCAATGCCGTTTGTCGTGGTGATGCTCGCAATGTTGGTCACCGCCGCATCTGGCTCTTGTTGGGCGCGCTCGAGCTTGATGCACTTCTCGAAGCTGCCCCACGTCCAAGAGCGCTTGTTTGGTGACCACCTCCAATTTGCTCCTTTGTGCTGTGCCCCCGCCTTTCGAACCCTTGTCTTGCCTTGAAGCAGGTCCATATCTGCTTTGCTGACGCCTGCGCGTTCCGCCACCAGTCTTTGAGCAGCCCACCAAGCCACTTCTCAACTGGCAGACTGAACTCTTGCAGGAGCAGCAGAACCAACCTTTGCCACGACATCCTTGGCATATCTCCATGTGTTGCCTGTAGACATTCAAATTGGGGGTGGTGGTGGTGTTGTGTCCAGCGCAGTGTCCACAGTGTTGTTTGCGGTGCTGTTGAGCGCATTGTAGAGCGCAGAGGTGTGCATTGCAGCACCGTCCACCGCCACCTCTTTGCTCATTGCATCATCATTGTTGCTGCTGCTCCTGATCAGGATCACAGTCCCAGAGTCAACTTTGGTCTGGGGAATGCGCCTTTCAGATTCTTGTTTTGAGTGCTGCAATGTGGCGTCATCTTGCACGCGCTTGGCTGAGATGACAATTGGGAGGGGCGGTGTCAAGACCACTTCTCTTGCCCTCTCTTTTCTCTCAATGTCCTCCAATTGAGTTGCCTTGATGCAAGTTGGTAGTTTCATGCTCACGATGATGGATGTGTTGAAGAGTGAGTGTGATGTAGATGGTACATGTACATATATGTGTGTGTGCATGCACGTGCGCGCGCGGCGGGCACGTGACAGGTAGATGCAAGCCAACCAGATCAGATTGATCATAGGTCATTGAGCTACTCTGCTGATGCTCTGGTTGGTGTTTGAGGGGGCGTGCAGGGATGTAGGGGTCATTGCGCGCGTCCTTCTCTTTCTCCTGTAACACGTATTCTTTGCTTGGCAGCGGCATATTTGCGCTCTTTGCACCTTTTGCAGCCCTTGCGTTTGTGGTGGTTTGCTGCAACTTATTGCCTCTGGATAGAAGCCCACATGTAAGCTGCAGGGCATATTTGGAGCATATTCAAAGCCTCCAACACACACAAACATTGTCATGATGCTGGCCCAAATCTCATCTACTGTACGCTGCTCCCCAATCACCTTCCATTGCTTCACCCTCACCCAGTCTTTGCTAGTGGCATACCACTATCTGTACTCCCGGCTTCTCAACTTGTATATCTCATCAACGAGTTTGTTTTCCCATACTTTACTTGCACCCTCAATCCATTCTGCAGGCAAGGTGAGCAGGCCAAGTGAGCAGGTGCAAGCATGGTGAGCAGGTGACGTAAGCGGGTGCAAGCAGTGTGCGCTCTCTGCCACGCCATGCAACGCACCCCTCGCAACAGCCACTCTCTCAAGGTCAAATTTGCACCTTGCTTGCTCTCCAGCCCCTCAAGAAGTGCCTGCATGCTCAACACACGCGAAGAATGCAGCACCACTCAAGAAGGTCAGCACACTGTCAGACGCAGCATGGTGACCCGGCCGCCGACCCTCTGACTTGGTCAAGTGGCCACTGCGGAAGGTCCTCAATCCTGGGTTTGCGCAAGTGACAACGCAGCATGGCTCCTTGTGTGAAGCAGACAATGGACATGCGCACGCCTGCCTGCAACGAACCTACGGAATGAGGCAGATGACTACGGCCTACACAGTATTGGTTGCGGACAAGGACCAGACTGGTATCAGTGCAGCTCATTCTGTGTGATCATCTGGCAACCAAAACGGTGTGGTCTGCAAGACCGATCATCTGGTCTGGAGCTGACACATCCTGCTCTCTTGCTTGCTGCGGGCTGACGCAACGGTCATAAGAGTGATGTTGGAGCAAGGAGCATGATAAGAAGATGCAAGAGCATGAAGAGGCGCTTGATCTGGTTGTGTGCAAGCTCTGTGAGCATTACAAGGAGAGATATGTGGTCACCTGGTGTCTCCCAAGGAACTGGGCGGTTCTTTCCTTGTAAGGTGTAGGGTGCAAGAGGGGCTGAAGGCCGTGCGTGGGTCTAGAGGGCAGTCACCGCACATCAGTGATCGCATCAAGCATCAAGCAAGGGCCCGCGTGTCGAGCAGGCACGCACACAATTCACTGGGCGCGGCGCGTGCAAACCGATCCGCGCCCTGCCGCGTGCACACCAATCCGCGCCCTGCCACGCAGATTCACAACTCTCCTCCACCATCATCGCCACGTCTCGCCACCATGAACACCATCAATGCTCCCACTTCATCTAAACAATGACATATCACGTGTCTGTTTGTCGACACGGCCGTCAAAGAGACGCTCACAATTTGCATCACAAAGGTCTTGCCAGGGTGGGAGGGCGAGGGTGCGGGCGAGAGTGCAAGCATGGGCACGCACCTCAATGATCACATTCCCTTGCTGCCGGCTCTGCCTGGTGTGAAAAACAAGGGTCAGCACAAGAACTTGCAAGAGGGAAAGAAGCGCAAGGTGGATGCCGCCCCCACTGACGCATACAAGGAGATTTGTTTGATTTGGGGGTATGAAGTCTCTCCCTGGGCTGATGCCAATGCTCACGCCATTTGTCACAATATCATCCTCACCGATGGCAACAATGTGATTGTGCAGCGCATCGGCCACACTCCGTACGATCACTGGGCCGCCCACAAGCGAGATCTGCAAAAGATGGCCAAACTCTGCTCTCGACTGGACACGATCAGCAACGTTGAAGGGATGAGGGCAGAGCTAGTGCAGCTTGTTTGCAACAACTGGGAGCATCATGAGATGGGCTCCTTGCAGTATGGACCAGACTCAAGGATTCATTGCTGGCTGCACAGTCCACAGATTCTGTGCGCACTGTACAACCTTGCAAGAGACCCTCTTGGGTTTGATCCCGCTTCAAACCTCTGGCCATGCTTCCAGCTGGATTGTAATGGTCAGCACTACATTTGCAAGGATCTGCTGCCTCTCAGCAATGAGCGTCTTGTGGAGCACGAGAAAAAGTGTCTCTGGGACAAGCCTTGGACATTGCTTCTGCGGGGAAGAGAGGGCTTCATCAAGTATGCTGGTACTGTGCACCACAACTTTGATGGCAATGGACCGGCAGCCCGCAACAAGGAAGACAATGCCCGCTTGACTGCGGCCACTACCCGTCTATCACGTTGGGCCACAGGCAAATGGTCCTTGTATGCACTTGTCAATGAATTCCCAGGTGAGTTGAGGGACACAAGAGGGGCGTGCGTAATCCACAGTTGAGTTGTGGCTGCTGTTGTGCTGACAAGGCAACTTCTTTGTAGACTCCACTGTTCTAGAATGGCAACATTCTAGCGCAGAGCAAGATGCGGAGCAATTCTCATCAGCATCCTTGGTCCCCTCTCCGCCAACTCCAAAAAAGGTGGATTGCATCTCCAATTCAGCCCCTTGACGCCATTCTGCAAGGCGGCCAAGAACCTCTTTGTCTCTGCAGGTGTTACTGCAGGATGGCCTCCTCTCTCCTTGCACTCAGCAATAGAAATTATGATGCAAGAGCATTGTGATTTTGTCAACGGCACAAAGAGGCGACCCCTCAAGCGCGCTATTGACATAGCTTCTTGAGCGTCCAGCACAATGCCTTTCAAGTCAATGATCATCATGAAGGATGTCACAGCAGAGGACTTGAGGAATGACGCAGACAACTATGGCCTCCACAGTGTGGGATGCGGACAAGGTCCAGAGCGGTACCAGTGCAACCTCACCCTGTGTGACTACGCAAGCAACAACGTACAGAATGGCGTCTGGCGTCACTACGTTCCACCTGCCTACAGTTGACGGTCCATCATTGACTTTTGGCTGCACAGTCTGGATTGACGTGCCCCAGCCTTGCACATAGTGATGTGTGTCCAAATGATTCTGCTTGTGAGTAGCCGTGGCAGTGATTTGCGAGGCCAATTTTGTAGGGATCAGTATGGGGGGAGATGATGGTGTTCAGTCAAAGAGTACGCATACATGGTGATCGATCTATAATTCACGCACACACCAATCATCTGCTTACACATGCTGCTCTCTTGCTAGGCCAGCGCAACCGTGATCAGGGTGACTTTGGAGCAAGTGGCCTTCTACATGTATGCAGAATTGAACTCTCTCTTGGAGGAGTTTGCCGTATGTGCAGGAGATCAACTTGTCTTTGATGTGCTCACTGGAGTCAGGGACATCTCCCACTTGCCCAAGGTGCTCCCCCCCCCCCCCCCCCCCCC